CGTGAACTGCGACACCGGGAGATAAACAGAAATTGGCAACGTGCACGTGAAAAGATAAAAATGCTTTCGCAGAAGTGTTGCGAATGTCATGATACTTCCTGGCGGGGTGGCTCTGCTTTGCTCCCTTCTGGCAGGCTATGTAAAAGGAAGTCCAGTGAACCTTGATACGGACGAAGGAAGCACACAAACGCTGGCAAGAGAAGCAGAGTTCAGGGACTCCCTGTCTACAAGAATTCTAAGAGACTTGCAAAAAGTAGTCGCCAAGGCAGACACAAAACGCCTTGTGCGAAAGTTGGAGGACCAAAACGCAGAGAAGTTCGTCTTCACACTTTCTTAAGCTCATCACCGAGCTGCTTAAGTATAAGAGTAATGAGTGGGGTAAGCTCAGCTTCGGCACTTTCTTAAAGGCAAGCCTCGGGGTAAGTCGGCGCGGGACTTTTGGTGCGTCCGGGGTTGCACGCGGCGAATCGCGCGGCGGGCTGCGCGGCGATCCGGACGAGGCAAGTCTTCGCGGGCTTCTGCGGTGGAATCCAACACGTCAGAACGTGTGCAGATCGCGGATAGAATCCACAAGGTTCTGCGATTCGAATTACATTCCAACGCATGGATATTCAAAGGCAGCGACAGGAGTCCCATGAGCGGAGAGATTCAACCAATTATTGTGTTTGGGACTAAGCCTGAGGGAAGAGTTTCTCGTGGAGGATGTGAGCAATTTCTGTTCTCCCGAGCGTATTTCCCTTCTCATGAGCTTAGTTCTAGTGTCACCTTCCATTGGCCCTGTTTTGAAAGTTCTCCCCAAGGACAGGAGCGCCGCGATTAGCAAAGATATAGAGTTGACAATAAATAACATCTCACTAAATGACTCCATTTTTAGTGCTTCTTATTCATATTTATAATATGATAATAGTGACATTTCTATGAAGTTTCTCTCTTTCATCTCCTTTCGCTGTAATCTTCTCACTGACACCGCTGCATTTCACCGATCTCCGCGAGTGGGAAGTTTCTTTCAAAGCAGAACCTTGTGGATTCTATCCGCGATCTGCACACGTTCTGACGTGTTGAATTCCACTGCAGGAGCCCGCGAAGACTTGCCTCGTCCTCGCCGCGCAGCCCGCCGCGCGATTCGCCGCGTGCAACCCCGGACGCACCAAAGGTCCGTCGCAGGGGGTAAGTAGGTGTGGAATAGGGCTGAGTAATGAAGCTAGAGGCAGGAAGTGGTCTGGAAAAGTGAAAGAGAAACCGAATACGCCCCAGAGGACCACCCTCTATTTCAGTCGCATTCCAGCTTGGGATAGAGAAGGGATGTACTAGGCGAGTTTCACGAGATCAACTCCAGTTGCTCCATTGCCAAGGCATGGAACCGTTGCCACAAATGCGCTGCGCCTTTCGAGCAGCCTTACATACGTATGTCGTGTCCTGCACTTGGTTTTGTATATAATCTGTTAATTCTGGACCATTTCCTTCTACTGGCTGCGTTAGGTCAAAAACAAAAACGTTTTCAACAGAAAGGTTTCCAAACTTTTGACCGCTACTGTATGTGATCAAGGCGTTACTGTAGGGCACCTGAACGTGCACCATACAAATCCTCTTATATACATACAAAGCAGCAGTTTGGTGTGTTTGTCTGTTTGTAACCAGGGGCTCGCACGCTACGTAGACCCAAGAAAACAGTTAAGGCATGGTCCCGGATGGGTAGGAAGCTGCCCCTTGGGCGTGTAGGGTGAAGGTAGGGCTTGGTTAGAAAGGGTATGGTAGTGGGCGGAGCCCGGTCAGGTGGGCGGGGCTTGCGCTGGAAATCTCCTTAGAAAACATAGGTTTTTGTGCAGAGGCCTCGAATTGCTAAGCGAATCACAACATTGATTGGGTAGTGTCGTAGGAGTTGGATTTTGGATGGGTCACATGCTATCGATCGATATCGATTGAAAATATCGGTTTTTGCGCAGAGGGCTCGAATAAGGTTGGGAATCACAGTATTGATTGGGGGCTGTGGTAAAAGTGGAAATTCCATCGGGTCACATGCTATCGATCGATATCGATTGAAAATATCGGTTTTTGTCTGGGAGGCTCAGATTTGCTTACTAATCACACTATAGATTGATGGGGTCGCAACAATCAAAATTCTATTAAAGGCAAAAGTCGGGCTCAATAAGGGGGTATTATGGCGATTGAAACTGAGTATAGAGATGCGAAGTGGAACGACAGTGGAGAAAAAACTGAGAAAAACCGTCGACAAGGCCGTTAACAAAACCCTCTTTCCCACTAGCAGTGAAGGAGGCTGGCTTGGGGAAGAGGCACGTACAAACAAGTTTTCTGGAGATATCAGTCGTTCTATCGGTTGATACGGCAATCAACCTAGCTGATTTCACACGTTATGCCAGCCACGCACCATCCCGAGGTGGGCGGTCGTAGCGGGGCCAGGCGGCGATAGCGCATAGTACATGCCCTGGGGCCTTATTACCGCGCCGTTTCGAGATTTTGAGTGTGGGAACATCTCTACGGGTGCGTAACCAAGTACAGCATGACCGAAAGGGTTGGTTTGGTCAACTAATCCCGACCTTTGCCTTTAAGTCAAGTGGAATCAATCAGTATCGATCAAAAATATCGGCTTTTATCAAGTAGGCTTGGAAAGACCCCTAGAACCGAATTATGAGGTTTTGTGGCAAGCTCCGCCCACTGTGGTACATTTCTCACCTCCCCCTTAACCTCTTAATCTTCCCTCCTTCTCTAACCTCTGTCCACTTTTTTCTCGGTTCTGGGACTTCTCTGAACCGACTTATGACAGGTTTGCAATAAACGCTGCCCACTTAAGGACACGCTCCTGCTGTGGGTGGGCTTCCACTGAATTTCAGGTATGTTGAAGACACCTTAGATGTTGTTCTCCTAAACCGATTTTACTACGGCTCAATAGGCTTTCTCATACCAGAGTTATGAGTTCTTCTTATCGAGAAACACTCCTTCAGAGAACGCTCCACCCACAACGGGCGGGCCTCCCAGATTCGACTTTTCAACCCAGTGCACACCTTTACTCTTTTTTCGGTGTTTTGGCTGCACCTATACCCAAACTCGAGACTTCTGCCGTCGGCAGCTCCTAACTCGACGCATGCCCCGCCCACTGTGGGCGGAGTTTCCCATGGTCCATGTCTGCCCCGTGTAGCCTGACTCATTCTCTACCCATCCCGAACTTGACCTGGACTCTGATGGTGGTTCCTTAGATAGTACTTAATTTTTTCAATAGACACACAAAGGCTCAGCCCTCTATATCCCCTCTATCCTCTTATATATAAAGCAGCAGATTGGTGTGTTTGTCTGTCTGTTACCGCTAGGGAAATTATATATCCCGGATTGAAACGGGAAATTCTCTACTTCCCCCATTCAGTCCTTCACCCCAAAATATATAGGAACAACTCCGTTTCCTTACCACCTCCTCAAATTCGAGCCCCTTCTCGAACCTTCACCAACTCCAAATACGGCTCCTCCCGAACAACTCAAATACCACTCCTCCTAATTGAGAGCTGCGAAACGCACGTTAACCCTGCCACGAGAATCCATCCTCTCCAGCCGTGTCTCGCGCGCGGTATCGTGCGCAGCTAAACTGGTAAATAAATAAAGTGCGAGAAGTATGAATGAATCTACTCAGTGTATGGAAATGCAGGAGAGCTCACAAACATATTGGTGACTCCTACCATAATTCGTTTCTTTGCAGCAACACGCAACCACTCCCAGAATTGTCTGCGTTGCGATTTCCGATTTTCTGAGTTTCTTCAGGGCTCTTCCTCATCACCACATTGATGTAATTACGAATTTTAGACTTCGAAGCATGTAATCGTTTTCCCAATGTCTGTGTTTGATGGACGCTTCTTTTTGGTACATGGAATTCTTTTTGAAGATATCGAGCACCTTCATTTGTGAGATTAGATGCATTTCAGCTGGGTTCCTCCTGTACAATCATCCAGATCGATGTTCAGAACAAACACCTCGACTATTGTTCTGATATTGGGGAGTGCCCTTTTGAGTGAGTTTTCAGGTTTTTCTAGGTACTGATTGTTCTTCATCCATTTCTATTACTATAGGATTAGTAGTTGTTACGGCCAAACTATTCCAAGTAGGATTAGCGCAAAAAGCAATATTGGGCAAGTGGTCCAACTTCCCATCACTGTTGTGGAGAATATGACGAATTGGTGGGCACCCCTGCGATTTGCTCGTTTATTTTTTCTTTTGAGTAAGAGACCCTCTCATGGGAAATGGTTACAAGCACGAGTCCTGCGCGCTGACCAGGAAGGTCTTTCAGGGCGTGACGAGCTTTTTGAAAACGGTCTTTTGCATGATATAGGGGCACATGCGGGAACCACAGAACCATGTTTAATTTTTCCTGAACGGCCCTCTGAATACCAGAAAAGGGGGTCCCTAGTTCGATTCCTCGTGGTGACAAATTTTTGCATTTCGAGTTGACGTTCCAAAATTCGCGCAAAATGGAGTTAGCATGAATAATTAGTACCATATTCATGATTAGGACCGTCAGTAACCCTTACAAAAAGACTTTGACTTAAAAATTGGTGTAAGAGGTGTGACACCAAGCAGCCCCACTGTGGTGTCACACCTTTTTCACCAGTTTTTTAAAAGTCTATTTGTAAGGGTTACTGACGGTCCTAATCATGAATATGGTACTAATTATTCATGCTAACTCCATTTTGCGCGAATTTTGAAACGTCAACTCGAAATGCAAAAATTTGTCACCACGAGGAATCGAACTAGGGACCCCCTTTTCTGGTATTCAGAGGGCCGTTCAGGAAAAATTGAACATGGTTCTGTGGTTCCCGCATGTGCCCCTATATCATGCAAAAGACCGTTTTCAAAAAGCTTGGTCACGCCCTGAAAGACCTTCCTGGTAGATCTATTCGTGAGGTGCAACCACGTCATCGAAATCGCTCCGCTCTCCAGCCATCGTCTTAAATTCCTTCAGGTCCTTTGAATAATATTGATCCAATAATTTGATCAGCAATTTCCTATTTTTTAGTATTCGTCAACGCAAACGAGCTTTCTCGATGCTGTGGAGGAGGAGCTCGGCATTTTCAACAGACGCATACCTGCTCCAACCTGAAATCAGAAGGATCGAAAGTAACATGTCTGAGGTACCACATAGTTCTTGATTGAAAGCCAACGCTGAGCAAAAGCAGTATTTCTTATTGACTGTCAAATTCGTTGTAATTCATTGCTAGAGCGCCGTCGAGCAATCACTGTGTTCACAAAAAGCCAAAAATATATCAGTCGCGTTCCAAAAAATGGTACTTACGAGGGTTTGCGCGCTATAAGGCCGATGTCAGACTTTGCGAATCGCGCGATTCGCTAGCGTCTGCGGTCGCGTCGCGGCCAGTGAATCACTCAATTGGCTGGTACCGCAACGCGACCGCGGACGCTAGCGAATCGCGCGATTCGCAAAGTCTGACATCGGCCCAAAGGAAAAAATGTTAGGACTAGAGAAAAAAGTCTTTAACATTCGCTGAAAACTGTTTATACAGAGAATCTTGAAATAATACCAAAAAGGTGCATTTTTCCACTTCATTTTTTGCTGCATTCTTCTATGGACATGCCATCCCAAGATCCAATCAGAACCTCAGTTGTTTACTACATTCTCTGAACGGGGTTGCTCAGGATTGAGACTAATACTTTTGAATAGTTTTTAGTGCTCTGCAAGGGCCACACGACTTATACAGCCTTCACGTTTCTTGTCCTAGGTGACTCTCACGGCATCACTTGTAGAAAGTTGTCACTTATCCAACTTATCAAAAATTGAAGCTCAATTCTATTCATGGTATCACCAGAGACTGAATAGTTGAAGGCAGTGATCACGATAGGTTCAATAAGGGTTTATAGAGAGAGAACTGGTGGAGGTTGAGGTACACCAGTGGCGAAAAAGCGGGAAATCATAGCAGTTCATCACAACGCGTTTGCTTGCACATGCCAATCCATGCTCCAATCGAGTTGCTCCAGTTGTGCCGCTGCTGGCAACGCAGCTCGTCCAAATCACCAAAAAACTAGTGGGCGGATCGCTTTTGGGGCGGAGTGCTTTCGAAGTCCTGCTCAGCAACCAGCGCACCTTTCGTCGTGAAAGCGCCACACCTCGCTTCCTTGGCAGCCAAGTAACTGATTCGTGTGGTGCATATGCTTCCCCGATGCGTTCCCTCTTTATCGTAATCGCTGCCTTCAAAGGAAGCGATCAAGATAAAGAGGGAGCACATCGGCGATATATGCGCCACAGGAAGCAGAAGCTTGACTGCCAACGGAGCGAGGTGTCGCACTTTCACGAAGAAAGTGCGCTGCTGTGTGGAACTTGAAAAGCGCCACGCCCCAAAGCTGTTCCACCCACTAGCCTGGGTACCCCCAGGAGGCCCGTCGCGCGGCAAGAAGGCAGAGTCGTCGGACGAGTTGCAGCGCGTGATGTGCGATGTAGGACGTGCAATGGGACACTCTATTTAACTTGACGCGAAATCCCTATAGTACGCGCGCGACTCGTCCGCTGACTTTGCCTTCTTGCCGCGCGACGGGCCTCCTGGGGTACCCCACTAGCCTAATTGGGATTTGGACGAGCTGTGTTGCCAGCAGCGGCACAACTGGAGCAACTCGACTGGAGCATGGATTGGCATGGTGCCACCAAACGCGTTGCGGTAAACTCGTCCATACGTCCGCTTCTTAGCCGCTTCCGTCATGAGCGAAATCAACGGCCGCACAAGGGATCCCGTTCCGCGTTATCCTGAGGGACTTTTTTCCGCACTTGGCGAACCGGTGAAGAACCCCTCTACGTCCCCTCCAAACCCCTGCAGAATCTATCGTAATCGCTGCCTTTAATCTGAATTGGATGCAGCACAACAACTATCACTGTAGAAGCTTCCCAAGTACTTTTGAGATCAAGGCCAACAATGCCTTGAGACAAAACCAACGGGAAAGAGAGGAAACGATCGCCTCTGTGGATTTTTGAGATAGTCAAAGAAAATTTTCAGGAGAGAAAATTTCCACAGCATCCAAAAAATTTCGTAAAGTTTTCAAATTTTGCCGTTTCAGCAGTTTTATGTATGCATCTATCTTTCCAGCTTTACCGTTAATTTCGTATAGCACTCAGCATAGTACGTGCGTATCCACCCCAGTTCCTCGATAAAACATGCGAATTTTTCCTCTTTTCATCGTTCGGTCAGGATGGGGTCGTACGCCGTGATCAGTTGGCCTTTATTGTAGTTTTTAATGAAGAGCTCGGTTAACCGACTTGGTATTTCGATTCCCAGAATGCCTTTCCAATTCTGCTGAGATTTAAGACTAATAAAAGATCATAATCCCAAATCAGTCATGCCGACCAGATTCAACGGTCCGTCCGAGTCTCGAGTCAATCAAAGGCGTAAGGGGTTGACCAAGATTAAAGCAACAGTTCAGGGAGGGTCCGAAAATTTCAATGCCACTACTACTGAGGGATACACGAGCCCTAGTGAAGAACATATGCAGTGGAAATAATAAACGAACTTACCTCAGAAACTCAAAAACAGGGTGGAAAGTCCCTCAAACATGGGTGTTCTTGGGGATTTCCCCAATCCCGCCCCCTTGCCGGCCGTCATTGGACGCGTCGGCAATCGTGCTCGTTTTGGGACCACAGGGAAAATTGATTGAAAAATGGAGCGCGTTTACAGCGGGCACGTTCAGACAACTCGTCCAACGTGCGTCTTTATCCATTGCTGAGCGGCAGAGGGAGAGTACCTGTCTAAGACCCTCCCCGACGTTTTTTTCCAGTTTTTCATACATTAATCGTCTGGTTTTCATCTACAACTTCATTATTGGTGGTTTTTTCCCGCGAAACCGTTCCTGAACTGTTGCTTTAAGAACTTCCCTTCCAAAACGCAGAATTGTCGGCCTCATGGCCGTTGCAGACAAACACCACAACTGACGACGGCATTCAAGTAATCTGGTTAGAAATTGTTCACAGTGATAGCCGATTTCTGGTAAATGATAGTTGTAATTAGTGACAATCGATAGAATACAACTGCAACAGGCTAATCATTTCAATGCAGAAAACGTTGACATTTCGTGAAGGCCTGTCGTCATTGTGGTGCGTGGTCTTCACTCGACGCTTTCTCGCTTTTTGAGAGGGGGGGGGGGTAATTTCGAAGGGAGGATCGGAAACTGAGAGGCGTTGCGATTGTAGGAGAGAGGGAGAGAACAGTATAGTAGCAGCAATGGGGGTGAAGGTGGCGACAATGGAGTGGGTGGGTGTATGGGGGCTCTTTTGCTGATTAAGATTAGATTGCCCGAAAAAAATTTGCACAAATTGCTCTTGTCTTCTCTATTTCTGAAAAGCTACCTTCGTCACTTACAGCATATATTTATGTTGATGAGTGCTAAACAACTTACTTTGAATTGTAAAAAATTACGTTTTACTTGGTATCGAGAAAATCGATGTTTTTCTTCGATTTCGTATTCGTATCGAAAATTCGATTTCGTATAAAATTGTTGGAAGTTTTCAGAACGGCATCGATATGTTGCTTACGTGCATTATTGGATTCCGCATGTGAAGAGGGTACTGATCTGGCAAAACAGGACGAAACGTGCCCGTCTAGTATAAACTCACTGGGCGGAGGGTTACGAAAGGTACGTCTTCATTAGTGGACCGAAGGTCCGTGACATAATATTGCCCATTAAGTCACAGTAAAGGCAAACCTTGGGATAAAATGGGTGTGCAGGAGCGTTCAATAATGAAACTGTGGATGAGGAGAATGGGGAGCAGTCTGAAAAGAAAAACAAACTAGAGAAACAGTCGATTGCGCCCCGAATGAAGCTTCTCGTCCCTTCAGCAGCATTCCACCTTAGGATGTGGAAGGAGCATGTTTGGACGGATTTTTTTCAACCCACTCACTTCATCATTCACTATTTTTGTTCTTATACCTATCTTGAGGTGCTATTAGCCGTTACGCAGTGAACAACGTTGTGTGCAGCAGAAGCCTTTATCTTGATCCTTGCAATAACTGGAAGGGTTGCGATGGTTTGCAAGTCCATAAAGATTAGCTTCAAGCGCGCATTTTACACGATGATGGTGGCACGACCTCTGTAGGTACGAGCCTATCACTCACGGCAAGGTTTCGGTTGACGGACTACTTGAACTCAGCCCTTTACCGCCTCTGCGCTCTCTAGCGGGTCCCTCTCCTCTCCAAGGCTTAGTCCTAGGGCATTCTCTAATCGTCTGTGCTCTAGCCATCGCGGCAGGACCATTGAGGAAAAATCAAGTAGTCCGTAAACCCAAGGTTTCTGCTATGAACTTCATCCCGGTATTTGCCTTCAAAGGCAATCAGCTAGTAGAATCGATCCCTCGGTCAGCGGGATCAAGCAAAGGTGGAAATTCCGGCGCCACAAGAGGGTAATAGCTTATCACTTGTGCTGAAACCAACTGCTGCAGCTATCTGCGACTTAGCGAGTTATCTGCTTTTCGTTTGCCACTATACTGTGTCGGCAGTTTTCTCTTCTCTGAGCCCGCCGCCTTCCAAGCCTCTCGTGGCACTGTCCACCGAACGTGTTCCAAATTACCAATTTTGCAGTTGTCGACCAAAAACTGATCAAAATTGAGCAGCTATCACACCATTTTTTTTTCGAGCGTTCCCCATCTGTAGCGTTGGCAACAAAGGTCGCATCAAATGTCTTTAAAAAATATCGCAAGAACTGAATTTCTCGAGGCCGTCGCCGCTTTTACTACTAAGCCTGAAATTACGATACGCTTGGCCGTGCTAAGCAAAGTGACACCACCAACGGGATTCTCAGCCGTTTTGTTGTTGCAGGAATGCTGCGAGTGTTGCTTGCTGGCGAGCGAATTGCTGGCAAGAAATCAGCCCTGCACGCCACCAACGGGATTCTCAGCCGCATGTCTGAGGTCCTTCTCACGTTGCTGTCAAGGCTCATTCGAGTTCACCCAGACAATTCCGATATCAACTGGTTTGACTGGCTCATTTTTTTCTGTGGGGTTTATAGTGATCTACACCGGTCACTCGGTGCTTTTCTTCGTTAGGTCGACCAGTCTTTCCAGTCTCGGAAACCAACTCCGTCTACCTGGGTGATCGATGCGCACATTCGAAATGTGAACACCTCTGTAATGATCGGTGAGTTTTTTTTCCAGTTTTAAAGGTAGATGGCACAGGGTGCTAACTTAGTTGGGGGGGCCACGCGGCGGCGCGGCAGTCTGCTCACCTGGGCTCTCTCGAGCGAGACAGTGTAAACTCGAACATTCCAGCTTTTCACGCATGTCAAGTGACTGCCCCCACCCCCACCCCCTAGACTGCCTACACTCCCCCTGGCCCACGGATTTCCGAACATGCCAGGCGAGCAGACTGCCGCGAGGTAAGCAAACCAGCCCTTTTGGCGTTTCGGCTGGGACCGTATGCTGAATGTTGGGGAGGGGATGGGGTCCCCAACGGTCGACGGTTTACTTCAACTCGGTTGGTACGATAGGAGAGTACTGACGCAAGTGGTGCAGCTGGTCCAGCAGCTCCGCCAGAAGGGCTGGTTTGCTCACCCCAGGACTAAGCCTTGGAGAGGGGACGGACCCGTCCTCTCTTTAAGGCTTAGTTCTGAGGTAAGCACCAAATTGTGGCGGTTCTAAGGACCGAGTTGAAGTGGTCCGTCCACCGTCGGGGACTCCATCCCCTCCCCAACATTCAGCATACGGTCCCAGCCGAAGCGCCAAAAGGGCTGGTTTGCTTACGTCCTGCGCCGCCCCGCGTGCCCCCCCCCCCCAACTAACAATAAGTTAGCACCCAGTAAACTGATCACTTTTTAAGAGTGTTAGTAGAGCTGAAAGATGAGCAGCAATGAAGAAAAACCAAGAGAAACAGCCTAGGGAGCCACAAAAGAGATCCCTTGTTCTCGACATTGACTTCGTCGTCATGCAAGCCTCAGCGCTGCCATCAGCGTACGCTTTGCTGTGACTGCTTCCAAAATGGATAGAGTCCGACAACGAGGGGCCGACAGGAGGGCAGCTAATCGGAGGGCGGGCAGAGGCACGAAAGCGCCTATGTTTCTTCGTCAGTAGTACCCCTTCGCCACAGAAGCACCACCTCTTGCCCTCTTGGGTTCCACTTCGAAATAAGCGCTTTCTTCCTTTCAGCATCTAACTTGTAGTGTCAGCTGCCTTCAAAACATAAGAAATACTTGAGTGGTAAATCAAGCAAATATGATGATGCAAAAGTTCTCCTAACAGGTGGGAATATTATACAGAAGTTCCAAAACCAACGAATGGGCTTTGATGATTTTGTTTTAGGCGCTCATGTCGTTAGGGGGAAGACATTCAGAACAGTGCTTATGGTAGGTGACACTGAGATTAACCATAAGTCCAGAAGAAGAGAAAAACGTCAGAGAAAATGAATGCTCATATTCTTACCCAGATTTCTTCCCTCTCGCCTCCCCCCGCTCCTTCAAGGTTTAGTGAGTAGCTCACTCACAATTTCTACGTTCCTTGCCCACCGCACTCCAACTTTCATCATTCCGTAAAACAGAACTCATTTTTTGCAGAGGTGGAGAAAGCGTTGAATGCACCTGCAGGCCTGGATACGACTTGGGTCCAGACGGGCAGAGCTGCGTCGGTGAGTCCAATAGTGAAAATAGCGCATCTTCTCAACCGTTACAACCGCAAACGTCTCTACATTAGCGGGATCTCAAAATGGTCAAAAGCTCAAAGTTGCTCTGCACAGATATCTCGGAGCTGATCACGGACACATCCACCTAGAAGCAAATCCTTTTGACACCAGTCTCGAGCCAGTATAGTGTTACGTTATGCCAAAATAACGCCAAATGACGACAGCGCTAAGATGAATGCCATGTTTATGATCAGATCACTGAATATTTCCTGTACCCAAGTTCACAGCGAATTGAGTGAAAGCAGATATTGCTTCAAGTGGCGCAAAATTGCCCCGAACGACTCCAGCGCCAAAAATCCCACATTCGCAATCAGGGCATCGAGGGGCTACTGTGGTTTAATAGTGCCAAGTGGTGTCAAAAACAGGATTGGGCGCGAATGAGTTCATGATCAGAGCCATTGCTGAAAAAGGGTCACGTATACTCCCTTTCAAAAACAAGAAGAGCGTCGGGTGCAGACCATACACCACAAGTGACGACGGCCTCCACAAAATGTAAATGTTTTCTGCCAATGAAATGATTAGCCTGTTGCAGTTGTATTCTATCAGTTGTCACTAATTACAACTATCATTTACCAAAAATCAGCTATCACTATGAACCACTACTAACCAGATTTACTTGGAGGCCGTCGTCACTTGTGGTGTATGGTCTGCACCCGACGCTCTTCTCGTTTTTTGAAGGGGGTGCTTGGCACTGAAGTGCGCGTTTTACCGCTACTCGAGCCAGCCTTCTGCAATTCCTATTTTTCGCCCGCTTTCCCGTTTACTTCCACACCTCACGAGCGTTCACGCACGCAGTCTGAGATAGGCTGACTGTCAACGTTTGCCATGGAAAAATGTTTTGATAATAGCTTCAATCTGCATTATTTACTTCGTCATTAAATATAATATCGATCTTGAATGATAACTGATTTTGTGGAAAGATCGTGATGAGTGCCTGTCGTCGAATCCACCATGTGAAAAAGCACGAGAAATCTGCATCAATACAGTTGGCAGCTACCAGTGTCGACGTAGAAGATGGACGCTTCATTCGGATCAGGCAGAACACCCCCGATTCGTCCGGAGACGAGACGGCAACCGTCGCATTGCACCTGAAAACGAGCAGTCGTCATTCTCACAAAGCTATTTAGAAGCTGCTCTGAGAAAAATTGAACTGGTTTGCCCACCGGGATGGCAGCCAAAGGACGACAAGTGCCTGGGTGAGTCCAGTGGGTTGCACGCGAACAATTCAACCCAATACTAACAAACCTTCATCGCATCCGCTCCTGCCCTTACCGTACCTACTCGGATCAACTTGTAGGAGGATCCCTCAAGTTCTGTACTGCAGAAGTGTCGGCAGCAACTGCCCACACGCCTGCTCATTTGTGATTGGCAGACTCACGCTGCAGCCAATCACATACGGGTGGGCGTGCAGCAGTGCAGTTGAGTTAATGTGTATTTGGTGTGATTGTGAAACCCAACTAACGCTTAACATTACATGCTGCGAAGGACAGGCATATCGGTGAACGATGCGTCGGTCAGGAATGTATTAATGGGCATGTTGCTACATGGCAGTTTATCATTACAAGTACAGTCGAAAGAGGCGTTAAACATCACTGCATTACTTCCACACCTCACGAGCGTTCACGCACGTCAGTCTGAGATAGGCTGACTTGTCAACGTTTGCCATGGAAAAATGTTTTGATAATAGCTTCAATCTGCATTATTTACTTCGTCATTAAATATAATATCGATCTTGAATGATAACTGATTTTGTGGAAAGATCGTGATGAGTGCCTGTCGTCGAATCCACCATGTGAAAAAGCACGAGAAATCTGCATCAATACGTTGCAGCCTACCAAGTGTCGAACGAAGAAGATGGACGCTCCATTCGGATCAGGCAGAACCACCCCCGATTCGTCCGGAGACGAGACGGCAACCGTCGCACTGCACCTGAACACGAGCAGTCGTCATTCTCACAAAGCTATTTAGAAGCTGCTCTGAGAAAAATTGAACTGGTTTGCCCACCGGGATGGCAGCCAAAGGACGACAAGTGCCTGGGTGAGTCCAGTGGGCAGCACGCGACCAATTCAACCCAATACTAACAAACCCTTCAATCGCTTCCGCTCCTGCGCCCCTTCTGTACTACTTCGGATAAAACTTGTAAGGTAGGTCCCAATGTCGGTACTGCAAAAAGTGTCGCAAAGCAACTGCGCCACCACGTCCTGCTCAGTAAAAATGCTGATTGACTGTCATGTTGCAGCTAAATCACATACGAGGTGGGCTGCAGCAGCGCAGCCTGAGCGATGTGTTGTATTCGAATGGTGATTGTGAAACCAAACTAACGCTTAAACAATACAATGCTAGGACCATGGCATGTGGTGCAGAGAGCGTCTTTCAGGAATTATCTTAAGACTGATTGGACATGGAGTATCATTACAGTACAGTCGAAAGAGGGTTACGTTACATCACCTGCTAATTCCTGAGGTCGAACCTACCTACGCCACTGTGTCTTTCACCCCCAAAAGCCGGTCATGTGATAATGGACATTTCTGCAAGATGATCTGCTGATTATTTTCGACAACATTGACAAGGGCGGCACTACTGAAAGCCTCACAGAGGCTTTTCCTTTCTTTTCCCTCCTGCAGTAAATAAAAAGCAAAGCAAACGGAAGCCGGTAACGCTCCCACATCAGTTCCCAATCCTTGCATTCAATGTCTATGAATATATTGTTGTGAAGTCACGTAAGAAGCCTCAAAAAGCCAAAACTGTGCTTGAAGACCGCCGACTTCTAAGCTTTAGGCTCAGATATCTAGTACTCCATTCGAGCACCTCAACAGTTCTGGCTGCAGTCGCTTGCCTGACGGCTTTCAGCAGCATTGGTCGACACTGGTCAAGCTACAAAATTGAATTTCATCTCAAAGGCACATCTAAGTTATTGTGCGGATGGAGTAATCTCTTGAATAGACCATAGAACTGTCTACTGAAGCCACAAAGGTCTCGTTTCTCCCTTGCTGAAGGACAGGTGCATGCTCTGCAAGATTGCCATTCACCGATTCCACTTCTCGTCGTTTAATTCTGCCGGGTTGTCTGCGCCTTTCACTCCTGGTAGCTCTTCGCCTATCCCCTCTTCCTCCGGCGCTCACTGTCCTCATTGCAACCTGAAAAGCGAGGTACAGAAGGAGTGATAGAGTGGACCTTTGATTCTCGCATTTTCGACGGGTTCTTTCTTTTTTTTTGACTTTTTTTTACACTTCGCACCTCTGTGCATTCATTATCGTGAATGAATCAACCAGTTGGGATCCTGGGAGGTACTCAAACTTCCATTATAGCGATTGTTACTACATGATGTGCCGGAACTATCTTTTTGGAATATTGTTACGTTTACTATTTGTAACTTCTAATTTTCCTAACGGGGAACTTAATTTTTCAACCTATGTTTTGGTCAGCTAACTTGTATCTGTACCGTGTGAGTGCGACTAACCGCACCGTTTAGACATTGACGAATGTCTGCTGTTGATGGATGATTGCCTGGAATCGCAACGATGCCTGAATTTACCAGGGTCGTTCAAGTGTATTCGAACACTTTCGTGTGGAACCGGCTACGCTATGGACTCAGAGACCGAGGAGTGCATTGGTTTGCAATGGCTTGCTGTGTCCTAAGAGCATGCACCACTACTTTTGCGAGATCGCATTGATCAGATAATTAAAAAAGTGATTGTTATAGACGTGGATGAGTGCACCCTTGGTGCTCACGATTGTGGTCCCCTCTATCAATGCCGCAATACACAAGGAAGCTACAGGTATCTGATTGTAATGTTTTGTTTTCATTTATCATATGAATCGCTCATGGGCAGGAGTAGAGTAGTGGCAAGGGGGGCTGCTTACCACGCACGAGACGCAAATCAAATACTGGATTATAAGCCACCCAGGCCATCGAAGCCTTCCACGCCTCTGGGTTCGTTTGATTGGTACAGCTGTCCGTGCGTGACTTGCATGTGCTGGATGTTTAGAAAAGGTCGTGACAAAGTTGAGGGTTCATCATTGGTTAAACCTAGACGAAAATAGAGTTAGGGCTAGTTGCTTGAAAAAGTTATTCCCATGAGAAAATCAACCAGGCGTACATTCCTAACTTAGTCATGACTTGTTCTTTAAATTCTACTAGTTTTTCAATGTCTCGGCTATAAAAAATTTTGACCTAGATCTCAGGTAATGGTGCTTGACCGTCGAGTTCTGGTTGAAAAACCAGGTCTGGAAAAGGAAGCGACGCGACTTGTTGGGAAACCTAATAGTGTAATGTTTAGAAGAGGTCATGACTAAGTAGAGGGTACATCATTGATTGATTTCTCCCAGGGAACATAAAGTTAGAGCTAGTTGTCGGTTTGGTCAATTTTTGTCGGCTGGACCTCCCATTTTGCAGGCCTGAAATTCAAAAACCCTGCAACATGTGTGGAAGAAAAACATAGCTGCTTGTAGAGCGGACAGGGTCTTAGAAGAAAATTTTCCTCTTGAACAAAAACGAATCTACTTATGGGACAACCTAATCCTACAGGTTTATTGTAGTATTTTGTCGAGATGCTACTTTCAGGTGTGATCCGAAAAAGTGCGCTGAAGGTGAGATACAAAATCCTGTCACGGGTGAGTGCACCAGTATCGACTGTCCCCTCGGTTACTATCCATCTGGTGGAACTTGTCACGGTGAGCTTTGAAATTTTTCGAACTTCTTGGGGTTTTGGGCGATTTCGATTTCGGAATATTCCAGATGTCGACGAGTGCACAACTGACCCTTGCAGTCCAACAGAGGAGTGCGTGAACACGGCCGGCTCGTTTCGGTGTCAGCAGAGAGGTAATATCTGCTCAGCCGGATATGAAGTCAATCCGAACACCGGATTTTGTGACGGTCTGTCTTTATTGTTTGAATTTGGATGACTCATGATATTTAAACTGACTGTCACAGCAGTCACAATCGTTCAGCAACCGTGACGTTTGGTGGATCATTATTTAGCACCACCTCTGCATCATGGTTTATCCAAGTATCAGTTCATTTGAGCACCCATGCGGTTAGGCTTTCCGCCTGATCGAGGAATTAGGCTTATCCCTAGCCGGTTGCTGATTTTCCGTTGTCCAACTCGTCTCTTTTCTTTCCTTGGCCACCCACATAGAAGCCTTGTCCCCAGATCATCAACAATCGAACACGATGTCGATTCTCTGTAGGCCATCATTAGTGTCGTATTGAGTCTCCAGTTACGACTGGTCCAAGCGCGGTACTCACTAGGGAATGCTTTCAATTGCACGTGGAACTTTTAAGTGAGACCCAGGCAAGTAGAGATGTATCCACAAATATGGAACCACAACTGCTACGCAAATTTTCTAGACAAGATGTGAGCAGTCAAACCTCGCACCGAAGTCGGCAAAGAAGCGAATTGCGGCACTAAACTAGCGCCAGATTGCCAATGTCTCAAGAATGAATGTCAGGAATTCGTGATCAGGCCATATATTTAACCCTATAAGTTTCAAGAACAACTAAAAATGCCGATGCGGTTAGATTAATTCGCCTCATATGCTGACGCTGCACTTTCTGTCAACCTTGACAGCCCACGACTTGCTTGGAATGTTCACGTAGCAGTTTTGGTCTCCATATTTGTAACCAGCATTCATTATTCTCTTGTCCAGGTCTCCATACAAAGTCCCATGCGAAATTGAAAGCTCTTCTTCGGAGCACCACGGTTATCACAGGTGGAAGGTTCTCCTATAGGGGCAAATGTTCGGCATAAGTTTCCATAAAATCTGTGAATTCTGAGGAAATTGGATAATTCCGCGGAATTCACAGACACAAGGATCTTTTAAATGTCGGCGTGTTGAAGTGAGCAGGTCCGCTTCTCAGCGAAATTTCACCTCGAGGGGGGCTACTTATGGTCTGTTGCTTGCTACCTCATTTCTTTGCCTAGGAACGTCGCGCTCTAGAAAAACCTCCCAGCATGTAGAAATCCTCACTCGGAAAATCCTGCATTCTTGTCACAACATTAGTTACAACCCATTGTGCAACGCACGTCTTCAACAGACCAGATTCCAGTTCCCGACGACGAATTTAATGTAGCGACAACCATGTGGGGCGGTTGCCTATAGTGGGTAGACAGGGAAACATGCGTGCCTTCTGGCGCCACGTTCAAGGCTACGCTTTGTAAGAATCGTTTCAGGCTACGCTTTGAGAGAATCGTGTTTAAGCTTCCGAATCTGGAGTACAGAGATAAAACAATCGAATGAATGGGATGCTTTTGTCAAAATAGCGCAATTTTTTGTTCTTTTCCTTCTTATCATTATGATTTGAAGTCCAATCATGTTAATGGTAAGCTAGGAGATTACAATGATGGGATTCTTTCCTTGGAAATCCTCCCTCAAGTGGACAGTTGGAGTGAAACAAAAGAATGAGAATTGTGTTAATACATACTGTACATAAATATGCTCCGCTACGTGACTTGTAAATTCCTTTCAGATTCCATAACCGAAATGCTGAACAAATGACGATTGTTGTTAGGCTCTGCTTGTGTATATACCTGCCTAGGGACTATAATGTCTGCTGTATACGCCGGGTACGACGTGTAGCGAGCAGAGTGTTTGTCTAACTTCTGCTGGTAAACGTGGTTTTGTTACTGTAACACCAAGACCAACCATCCGTGGGGTCAAGTTCAGCATGATCTCACCTTTACCGTCCAGCGCAACGGTTGACTCGGTAGGATGTCAGGCTCGGAGAGCATGGCAGCGTTAGAAGTAGAGGTCTCGAAGAAGGTTTTCTATCCGGAGTACCACCGCTCAAAGATTTGCGCTTTCCGACTAGCGTATTCTCTCCTGGAAACCAGATATTTACCACGCAAATTGAATTCGGAGTCAAGCACATACAGTCGTCCCAATACGTATAGACGCACCCCAAGACCACTAAACTGTCACTCAGAGCACCAATCAGAGTCCTTATGACCGCATCCTATCTCTATTTGAATTATCACGCCTGGAACCTCTGTTTACAGGCTTTCACGTGAAATGGAAGAATTCGGCGCTTTTTCCAACAGGTGGCATTATTTTGCCTGTATCAAAAGTATAGACGCACTCGAAAATTTGATACGTTTATTATGGAAACAAACTTATAACAACTTCTTAATAATCAAATGTTTACTAACTGTTTTTCTCCCACCTATATCGAACTGACTTACAAGATTCTATTATCATTTGGCTATGATTGCAACACTCACGCTAATACCAGCAACTTGCATCACCCCGACCAATTAATAGACTTGAACTACTTGCAAGTGTTGAGCGCTCTGCATCACTATCAAAAGTCTTTCCCTGACGGTAAATATCTCTGACTAAAAGTCCCCATAGGTTCTCTATGGGGATTAAGATCAGGAGAGCAAGCAGGCCAGTCCATTCGTGACTATATTTCTCTCCGTCTAACCATGATTTTGTGGACCTGCTCGCGTGGATTGCCGCGTTGTCTTGCTGGAAAACGAACTCTCCTTCTTCCTGACGTGCCAGAAAAGGCAGGAGATGACGACGTAACACTTCCTGGTAGTCCGTCGAGTCCATATGAGTGGATGTGAAGGCGAGCTCCAGCTTCCCGTTCTGATGGAATCCTCCCCAAACCATGACGCTCCCTCCACCGAAATTACGTCTGCTGAAGTACTTCGGTTCCTTGCGGAAGGTCCCTCCAGTAGAACGCATTTCCATCCGGACCGTCCAAATTAAACTTTCCGCCGGAATACCACATGAAACAAAGACTTCAGATTTAGTTAATTTTATGACGAAGATGCATTACTACGACACAACTTGTTGCCCATTCCTTTTGGTCAAGATTGTAGCGAGAATTCTTGTGGATTCTATTGCCTCGTCCAACGTCCTCTCCTAATTTGCACGTCCTACATCCAACACTCCAACGCCGCTGGCCAGCTCGTTGAGAATCTGCCTTCTTGCCGCGCGCCACGAGCCTACTGGAGGGTACCCGTAAGGCACCTTTTCAGGTTATCACCTGATTATTTATTATTAGCTCCTACCCTGACTGTTAGAGAGAGAAAAATGTTCAGCTCACATATACAGTTGTCTTTAAGTCACGGAGTGAGTTGTGTCAGACAAAACGAATGCTATAGAGTGGACGAGTGGAGAAGTTCGGCCGACCATGTGTGTGACCCTGTCGGCTGAAATGTAAGAATACTATACTATAGGATCGATTCAGTTTCTGCAAATGTAAGAAGGGTTTCAAACTAGCGGAAGACGGAAGGCGATGTGAAGGTTTGTTACCTTATTTTAGCTGATCATCGAATACTGGTAAGATAACTAGCCCTGTGATGACATTATTGTCTCTACTCTTCGAACATCATGGCTTAGGTATTAGTAATATGAGTGAGGATCCCGTAGAGAAAAGTTAGGAATTTGTCGTGGACCCTGGAAGCCTTGTTAGGTAAGCTCGTCATTGAAAGAAGTGCACAACATAATCAACTTCCTAAGAAACCTAATGTGTCCTCAAAATATCCCAGTTTCATTCTGACGCTAAAAACTGACTTCTCCTCAGCGCGTCTGTGACATAAGTAAGACCTAAAGGACCAACATATGGTGGAAAGATAATCTAAGCAATTTGCTAGACGATTTTTGCGAGTACTGGTGACGTACACCATTGTATTCAGATAGATAGCCACATAACGAAAAATGAAGGTTTGGTCAGAGGTGGGTAGTGGCAGGTAGAGCTGTGCATTACGTGCGTGGTCCGAAGGTAAAGTCCTGGCTCTACTCTCGTCTGGTCCAAGAATTACTCCCAGAAATAAGTAATTGGGTATAACTTCCGTCGGAGAGGATACCAGCATATATCCTGTTCCCTAAGGCTGGTGCTTCCCGTCAATTCATGATAACCAAATCCAGTAACTAAATTTCAAATCCCAGGATGGGCAAGGTAAGATTGACGACTCGGCGTTGAATGGGTTGAGACTTCTAATAAAATGAACATCTCAATTCATTATTGTGACTTTTGAAATGGTTGAGGGTTAAAGGGGAAAGCATTTACAATCATGCAGTCTCCGGTTGGATCTCAAAACGAAATAACACTCTTTGAATTATAGTCGCATTCCTGAGTGAGTTAACTTATGCTCCGTGTTGCTAAAGCCAAGTAATTTTTCTAAGAACTGTGATGTCTCTACAATCGCATTCAAAATGATTGTCTCTGGAAGCCTTCAGCACAGCTTTTTCTTCATGTATAGTGTCTAAGGGATTTTTGAGTCACTACTCTTCATTATTGTGAAAATCCTTTGAACATATAGTACGCTCTATGCTACCCGAAGAAGCTATGCTATTAACGTTTGCTGTGTTACTTTTTAGGTAGTTCGGAACCTCTTCTTACGCCGTCTTTCTTATTTCTAAGCCAAACTTAAGACTTTCAAATGCCAATTATAGTCCTAGGATCATACCAGAAGATTATACAGGTATCACTACCCGTTCAAGTCCACGATGCACTCACCGGTGGTTGACTCCTACTCATGGTTGGCTTCTTTTATTTCAAAGGCAAGCACCGGGATAAAAGTGGCGTATAAGGGCGCCCATGACGGATGAGCTGCGGAATGAACTGAAGTGCGGAAGCGTCAAGAGAAGCATAGTGAACGCTAAAATTGTGGCTTGGCAAGCGTTCAGGCGTTGCAGCAGGATCGCTGGTCGAGCCCTTTCACCGTTGTCGCCCTAACCGCGCATTTTGTGGACGGGGTGGCATGACTCTGTAGTACACACACCAAAACTTCTTTCGGCGTAGTAATTTCTCTATCTGCGAGCTATCCCGTGCTTAGCCTTTCAAAGTTCCCACATCTTATCGCTAAACACCCTGTGATAGCTATCCTCATGCCAACTGCCGACTCTGACCTGCCATACAGGAATTGGACAACAACGAGCGATCATTTTTGTCAGAGCCCTTCTGATGTGTTGAGGTGACAGATACTGAGACATCTGCATAGCCGCCGACGAAGAACTGAAAAATTATGGAGATTTGTACTCTCCAAAATATCTATAATCCATCCTGATTTTGCTCCACACACGACTAACAGTCATGTTGCGTTAGTATTCCTAGGTTCCCGATGTTGATTAAGAACCAAAAAGTGGTAGGAGCCGCCTTGAACGATATTGGAAGCCCTCGAACAGCACGGGTTCCAACCCCTGTGACATTCGATGCGTTTCAAATTGCCACGGGGGCTATTAGGTTGCACTTTGAAAAAGGGGGAGTTAACTCCTACCAACCCTTCTATGTTTGCCATTAGTCTTAGCAAATTGCTCTTTCTCTCAGGGTGACCTTATGATTATGAAACGGTGCAAAAACAAAAATATCGATGGAAGAGCAACGAGCTCCTGCTCCATCCAAAATTGGGCTACCAGGACTGACTTAAGGAGGAATCCTGATACCATAGGTGATACTAAAATTCCTTGAGCTGGTTCTTGTTCTGGAAATACAAATATAGGAGTGAGCTTATAACTTGTGAAAGCCAACTGTATAATGGGCAGGTAACTTGAGATACAAGATTGAACAAAGAATTAACATGTGTTTCGAAAAGTGAGAATAAAACACCAGAAATATCCGCTTTATAAGCATTTCTGGTGCATCATATTTGGAAACCGTGAACACAGCTTTTCTATTCTCAACTAGTCGGAAATCCGATATATGCCAAAGGTAAGCGAGTATCTATGGTCAGTGTCTCTTTAACCCTTTGACGACCGTGTGGCCCGCCGGTGGGCCACACTTTCACTCGAAGGCGACTCGTTTTTCGTCATTTATTTGGCATTTTTGAATGTTTTAAAGCTGCCCGTATACATTATCGGAAAGCGCAAAACAAATGTGCTCGTTACTAATAATGAAATTGTTGGAGTTTTGATGGATTTTGATGAAAAAATTTGAAAAGGAATGGAGCAACGCACGCACAACGGCGGTCGTCAAAGGGTTCGAAGCAGAACAGACAGTGTGCCATACAAAATCTGATCGGGAACGGGAACTATATGCAGCCGTTACACAACGCGTTGGAGCCGTCGTTTCTTACCATTAGTAGACATTCCATTGCACTTGTGGATAGCTTCCAAACCATTGCAGTTCTTAATGGTTCTTTGCGAGGAGAAATTCAAGCTTCTCCTTTATATGCTGAACATTGCAATCCTCTCTTCCCAGACAAAGGGCCTGGGACGGTAAGAAGGTGCGAGCATCATCTAATGAGTTGGAGAGAGGATGCTCGGGTTTCCAATGCCGATGCCTAGAAGCGTAAAAAAGGAATCAGGTATTATATTATCGAATATCAGGATGTTCGGAGACAGCATGCAGTCTTGGTATAACCGCTAGGCCAGAATATTTGGTGAACGATTTTCATGGAACATCCTCCATCTAGATTGGCACCTATAAGCCATATTTCTTCATTTAAGCCCTGCTCAAAGAAATCAAACGCTTGTTCCTTGAACTAGCTGGATCTTTAGTAGTGCTCAAACTCGAGAGAGGGACAATGGAGATGTTTCGGGTGCACGCTTAAATTGGGTGAGCAACAGAACGAATGTGACGGTTCGAAATGCAAGCTTAAAATGTTCCTCACATCAGCAATTTCTCAGCCCCCTAGGGTGAATAACGGTCGAGGAATTCCTCGGCCATCGCTATCTGCTGCTCGAGAGTAGAGCCTATAGTGAATGTACGCGGAGACCGCAGACGGAATCCTCGTTCTTGGCCACGAATATGGTCAGTGCATCACTTTTTTTTTACTATTTTGTCTTTTGCTCAGAGTTCATCTCCCTTGGATTCTTACATTTTCAAATTTCAACAAACTCCAGTTCATTACTGTTATATGATTTCTCATGGTAAGGACAATCCTTGTAATGGTGAACACGATGCAAGCAATTTTATTAGTATTTTCAATTATATTGAAAATTCTTTATCAGTTTTGGATCGAGGAGCTTCTTCACCATCTATGTGCTCCATGACGGGATCTTCCACCTCCTCTACGACCTCCGCGTCCTCCGAATGGAAATCCTCCAGGTCCTCCAGGCATTGGTCCTCCAAGTCCTCCCGTCATTGGTCCTCCAGGTCCTGCAGGCATTGGTCCTCCAGGTCCTCCAGGCATTGGGTCCTCCAGGTCCTCCCCGGCATTCGTCTCCAGTCCTCCGTCATTTCGGTCCTCACAGGTCCCTCTCCGTCATTGGTCGCTGCAGGTCCTCCAGCATTGTCGCTCCTGCATTTGGGTCCTGCCCATTTCCCCCGAATGCGGAATCCTGCAGATTCCTCCGGTCATCTGCGGCTGTCCGACCCAGTCTCCTGCATGCGTCCTCTAGTCTCCCACATCTCCCCCCAAATGGAAATCCTCCAGGTCCTGCAGGCATTGGTCCTCCGACTCCGCCGTACGGATATACCCCAGAGCCTCCATAGGGGTATCCTCCAAATGGATAGCCTCCTAGTCCACCGTAGGGGTATCCTCGCCGCGTTGTTGCCCGTCCTCGGGCAGAGTAACCTCCAGATCCCCCGGGCATGTCGCGGTCCCCTGGTCCTCATCCTGTGCAGGTTCATTTGTCCTCCAGGTCTCCAGTTATGATTCCTTCCCAGTCTCCATATGGGTTTTCCTCCTGGCCTCCAGGCACAGCTCCCCCGTCCTCTGACGGCCATCCTCGACAGCTCCCCAGCGTTAAGGCCAGGCCTTGAACACGGGATTTGGAGCTTTTCTGTAGCTTTCGTTGATCGCAGACATGCTCGTCACCGGCTGTGCTCAGAAGAGTTTGTAGATTTGCGCATCAAGGCCGTCTCTTTGCTGTCACATTGCAGATCCTGAAACTTGTCTCGCACTACTCTCACACTGAGCCGATATTTGTGATAATATCGCCTCTTTGAAGTGCTTCTTCCTTTACACATAATAATCATTTTAAGTCTTTTGCAACCGGAAAGGAAAAGTTTCCAGTACTCCATGATGCATTTTACCTAAACAGCAAGTATCAGGTGTACTAGAAAATGTTGGAATACATATATAATATAATAATATACGTTACCTATACAGGGGTGGCCAAAAAAAGACACTATACTCCGTATTTCCCCGCACCTCTCTAAACTCTACAAAGTTGATGCTCCAATCAATCGCGCTCAATCTAATATCTATGGAAATGAAAAGTATGGAGAACAAAACAGTGTTTAGGCCATTAACGCGTTGATGGCCAGTTTCGAGGCCATTATTCCTTGATCGACGACACTGGGACTGGGAAAATGAGATCGAGCTCATTGTTTGTTAAGGATGAACCTGCCCACTAGGTTTGATCCATTTTATAGGTCCAGAGCCAGTCTCGTCATTTTCCCGTACACCAATGTTATGCGGTGCGAGAGTTCGATTTGTCGTGGTAATGCTACGGAATGGCTCATACTAGTCGAGGGGTAAAAAGGTATGCCAAATAACCTGCCTCAGAAACCCTCATTTTTTTATCGGCTAATGCGAAAAACACTTCTTACAGTTCATGTGATCATAAAGCTCACCGAAAGTGCTGCTACAGCCACAGCAACAGCTAACAAGGTGTGAACATACATCTGAAACATTTCCAGATAATATCAAATGAGTTCTGACTGACTCAGACCAGCCATGTATCAGACATTGAGACCGGCCAGGTTAGACAAAAAACAGAAAGCTGTTGAAGATCTGAGGAAAGCGAAAATAATTTTGTGATGGTTGTACAGTTTCTACCAGCGGGCTTTTATAATGAATAATTAGATTTACTTCATGTAATGTCTCCAATTTGGCTTTTTTCTTTTACGGAGACATTGCTCAAACAGATGATGCTTCTCTGCTCAGTGCGACAGAGCTCCGCCATTGAAGCATCCAGAGAGCCAACACACTATTCTAATTACCTGAACCATTTGTGGCGAATGCACCAAGCCAATATTGATCCATGTACAGTGATATCATCATAATTGAATCACATGAGAGGTAGACTGTTCTCATTCTTCCTCCTGGGTGACTAAGTTTTCTCGTTCACAATCTCTAATAGGACCACAAGTGCTGTCGATTCCCGTATTACGTTCTACGCGGAGTGCAATCCTTTCTAAAAAGTGGTCCATATATAGCCGCGAGTTCATTTCAGGAAAATGATTTGTTCGTTTAACAATCACCACCTGCGCCCGTTTAGTGATTGTTCTGGGGAGTGGATTTACAGCGCGGGTTCGCTAACAGACTTTTTGGATTTACAGGCTGTGCAGGGAGACCTTGAGTCTGTGATGGCAGTAGGGGCTACAGCTTCACTATCTCTTTCAGTCAGAGATTGACTGCTCCCATTCGTTGAACAGAATCATGGACCGTACTGATGAAGAGAACAGCGACGGACTCAACAAGGCAAATGTGGTTCTGTAAATCAAAATATTATCAGGAAGCTGACCTCGCTTCACCTTGAGAATCTGTGACGACATTTGTTATGAGAACAAACGTATAACAACTTCTTAATAACCAATAGTTTCATCTTATTCGAAAACGAAAATTCGATTTCGAAATTCGAAAAATTTCGATTTGGCATTAATTCACCTAAGTCTATACAACAATTACACGTCCAAACAATCCCATGCCCGACTAATTGCCATCTTGAAGACGCACTCTTCACACTACAATTGTTCCTGCGGTAAAATATCTCCGACTTGTATGCCTACTGCTCTCTGTGGATTTATGATTAAGCACTACGCCCATGGGGGCTATATCTCGCCCCCTTCTAGGTACTGAGTTTGTGGACCTACTCGCGTGGATCGTCGCAGTGTCTTGTTGAAAAACAAATTCTCCTCCTTCGAGACGTGCAAGAAAATGTAGTAGATGACGACATAGCACGTCTTGATAGTCCGACGAGTCCACATGTGGGTAGGTGAAGGCGATTTCAAGCCTTGATAGAATCCTCCCGAACCATCACGCTACCTCCGTCGAAATTACTCTACTGAAGTATTGCGGTTCCCTGCGTAAAGTGAAACGCATTTCCATGCTGAGTCTGTGGGCAATCGAACTACTGTCCTCGTCAGCTAAATCCCCTAACAGCCAACTCAACTTTGAGAGCTTCGGAGCAGGGTGAATATCGCTTGAGGATTTCCTCAACGGCACGTCGAGGATTCTCTGCCCGATCAGAGACGATCTCTCGCGCGGACATTCACACTCGCCATGCCGTGCCGTCTGTGCTCTCCGCGCGGATGTTCACTCTCGGCACTACTCTCGCATGGTAGAGAGCTATGGTCGAGGATTTCCTCGACCGTTATTCACCCTGTCGTGAGGAGGCCGCGACCTTCCGATAATTTCAGGCATGTTCTTTCTGGCAAACTGGGGCAGGGCCTCCTTGTGGGCGTCGGTAAGTCGGGGAGCAGGAAAGAAACAACACCTCGCTATGTTGTTGTTAAGCTTGATTGCCCTACTTGTCGTTATTCTATACAATGGACCCGGTAAGGTGGTTCAAACTCCACTGATGCTGTCAGTCAAGTTGGAAACGAGGCGTCTAATGGCGCATTCCTGCTTTGAAGTTAGCTCTGTCGGCCTCCCAGATCTCCTTTTTCTCCGCAGATCCTGTGTGACGTAGAAATCGCGTCGATTGGCCTTGATGAATGCCGCACAGTTGTTCAGCATCTTCACGACTGCTCATGCCTGCTGTGTGCAGGGCGAGAACCTGCGCCTACTCTGCTTCTGACAAACGTGGCCCTCATGGCATTTTGCCATATTGTGCCAATATCATCCACGTTACGTAGTTTCTCGGAACGGAGCAGTTGTTCTATGCCTAACTTCTCATTTCAACCCGGTTAATGGTAACCGGGTCCTTACTTTTGATACTGCCAAAATAAGTTTCTCCTCTTGAAAACGACCGAATTTTCCTCAATTCACGTGGAAGCGGTAAACTTGGCGTTTTCCTACATGCTGATTCAGACGGTGATGACGCTTTTTGTCGAGAACTTCTATGGAAGTCAGTTGCGGTACTTTCAGCGGTCCATACTTATAATACGCTACTGGCTCAAATGATTGACAGATACTGACTTCGAAGACAGGAACCACATTGACACCCAGCCGCAGAGGAGGAAGTACTGGGATAAATCATGAAAGCAGATATTTACTGATTGACGTGTGAAGGCTTGGAGATCACCAGGTGCCGCTACTATTGCTATTGCGTGCGGTGTGTGCAAGGGGAACTGGAACAGGCAGTGGATGCCAAGTCTGCCAATCGAGGCTGCTCTTACACAGCATAAATGATATTGGCATTCCTTCGCACTCAGCCATAGCATCTGATTTAATTTCACTATCTTTATGGGTAAGGCAGCAGTGGACTCCTGCTACAATAGAGATGGGTCAGTGCCTGTTCCAACCCGACGCTCATGAACATACGACGAGCCTGGTCACGGTGTTGTGTTGAAGTTTCCAAGATGCTGAACGCAGACGAAGCGCAGAGAAAGGACAACCAACTTTGAGCAAAAACTCAGACACTCGGTTGTCGTAGACCACCTTCTGTTACCACCTCGAAACTTTCTTTCTGAATTCCTATTTGCTCCGCAGGTGATGGTAGTGACTGGCGTAGTTCCTTTGTTAGACTGAGAAAGCTGCTTATTGCTGGCTTATTCCTGCCCCTCATATGATTCGTTTTAATGATATCACTTTACATGGATCATTTGCTTTGCTGTTCAAATAGATGTGGTGTGACTGTGGAGCTCTGTCATATGAGTAGAGAAGCACCATCTGTTTGAGCAATGTTTCTGCAAAAAAAATGCGAAACTGGAGACATTACATGAACTAAATCTAATTATTCATTATAAAAGCCCGTAGACTGTAGCAACCACCACAAAGATTTGTTTGGCCAAGAACATTCGAAGCTGATACACATCACCCAGTACGTACTTCTACGATTTAGAACGTCTCCATTGTTCCCCTTACGAGTTCGAGCACTATTAAGGATCCTGCTCGTCCGAGGGACAAAGCGTTTTAACTTCGCCCTTGAGCAGCGCTTACATGCAACGAAGTGTGGATTTAGAGCTGTATCGCTAGACTTCAGATGTTGACACTAGATCGTTCACGATTGCAGATCATTCGCCTAGTTTCTTCATTGAGGGAATGATGAGAACTCTACTAAATAGGCGACTATATCGAGTCTTCAGCAGTCTGGCACTCTTCCCATCTTTAGTTGGGACTTGATGTCGTTGAAGGGCAGGACGTATGTGATTGCCTGTACAAATCCAAATCTACCAGGATCTGTCGAAATGCGGAGCTGTGTCTCTTTTCATGCTCGAACCGAACTTTTGGATGGCCAATTCAGAGACGTTCTTTCTAAGGGTATCATTAGGTCAAGCATGTTTCGGCTAAAGAACGTCTGCCATTTCTTGTCCATCCCAAACTGTGATGTCGTGAAAGTCCGTTCTTGTTTTCCTTAACACACGTCAGTGGTATACTGTGGCTTTGAAATTCCGCCGGCATTCTCAGACGAGTTCTGCTCAACTCTGCCCTCAAGCTTATAGCTCTCCCTATATGCTAAACTCACCGCATCACTTCTCTGCT